AATGCCATTTACAGCAACATAGATGGACCTGAAGATTGTCATTCTAAGAGAAGTAAGCCAGAAAGAGAAAGATTAATACCATATGATGTCACTTACATGTGGAATCCAAAAAAAAATGGCACAAATGAACTTATTTACAAAACAGAAATAGACTCCCAGACACGGAAAACAAACTTATGGCTACCAGGGGGAAAGGGGTGGCAAGGGATAGATTGGGAGTGTGGGATCAGCAGACACTAACTACTGTACATAAAACAGGTAAACAGCAAGGCCCTACTGTACAGCACAGGGAACTGTATTCAGTAGCGTGTGATACCCTACAATGAAAAAGAATATATATGTGTATATATGAGAATCTGGGAAAGAATGCATATATGTAACACTGACTCACCGTGCTGTGCAGCAGAAACTAACACCACATTGTAAGTAAACTAAACCTCGGTAAAGAAAAATAAATGTTTGCTGAATTGTTCATCGTGTTTCCTCTCATAGACTTTCCGAGCCCCAGACAACGTCATTACCCAGCAGAAGAGCATCCTGAGTGGAAGTGGGGTGTGGGGCCGTGCCCATCAGAGCCTGAGGGCACCGGACGCCCTGGCCAGCCCTCCCCCGGTGGGGAAACCTCCTGCACGTTGCGGGCGCGCCGGGGCCGGGGCCCTGCTAGGGTCACACCACACGGCGCTCGAGGGGCGTCCTGGGGCCACGTCGGGCTACTGGCTCCAGCTCTGCGCGCCCGGCAGCCCCTCGACGTCCCCGCGGGAGTCTGAAGTTCTCCACACTTTCAGCACTGGGAGGAAGGCTTTTCCACGGTCGCAGGAGACTGCAGTGAGCCTGTCCCGGAGCAGCCCACGCCCCCGTCCCCGGCACGCGCCGCGGTTGCTCCGGCCGCGGCAGCATCCTGACTCCAGGCCGACACCGGCAAGGCCACCTGCCTCGTGCCCAGGAAAGCTCTCTGGGCCCCACCTCCCACCCCCACACGTGATGATGGCACAGGGTCACGCCTCGGTGCTCCTGGCACCACGCACAACCTGTGGGTGGCCCCACCCCTCTGCTCCACGAGGCCGCCCTCTCTGCACCTGTCAGCACGGTGCCCGCGGGGGGCAGGGGCTCTGCGGCCCCTGGATTAACAGGGTTATTAATTCAGGGTGTCTGCCGCACACAGCCAGCCTGGTTTGCAGCGGGGTGTGGAGACCGGCCTCTCGCGCAGATTGGTGAAGTCAGTGAGGGCGGGACGAGGCTTGGCGCGCCCACCCCTGCGTCTGCCCCCGGGGCTCCTGTCACTCTGCAGCCTTAATGCCTGCTCACAGCCGCTGTTCCGTGTCCGCAGGGGCCCTGCATCGTAGAGAGTCAAGCTTTTACTGACAATGACTCCCCTTCTCCGAGGGCAAGCTGCCATCATTACCGGGGGGGAAGCCCCTCTAAAGGGGCGGCTTCCCCCAGAGTCACACCCCAGGGTAACGGCCCCACCCAGCCCACTGTCCGCGTGGGGAAGTGGTCGGGACAGATGTCTACTGGGTCACAGAGATGCTCCCGAACCCAGACCCACCTGTGACTGGACCAGGGGGCAGAGGCGCCCACATCTCACTTTAAATTAATAGGGAACAGCCTCCTGCCTGGTCGGCCTCACCTTTGACGACCCACTCATCTACTGACAGAATGACGTTTCACTACACACCTGGTGACGTCACCCCTCTGCTCCCCTCTTCCTTGACTCCCCATGGCTGACAAAGCAGGAATGGCAGTGAGCTGTAATGGAAATTATGTACACGTGTGACTGAATCACGGGGCTGTACGCAGAACACTAGCACAGCATTGCTAACCAACTGTACTGCAACACAAACAACAGTCAGTCAATCAACAAACACAAAATAGAACAGCCCCTAAACCTGGTATTGGAGGCGGTGAGGCGTGGGCTATTTCCTGGATCCCAGCCTGTCTCCCCACATCCTCCTGCTGCCCTGACAGACTGGACCACAGCCCTCAAGGCCTTCCTTGCACAGAGCTCCCTGGAGCACCCCTCGGGGACCGAGTAGGAGTCCAGGTGGCTGAGGCAGAAACTGGCCTCCTGAGTGGGTGAAGTGGTTTCAGGGGAGGAGTAGGGGTGAGGGCAAGTGCGTGGGTGGTGTCCAGGAGGGGACAGTAATGTACCAGAATGAGTACTGGGAGGAGCCGGGAGGATGGGGCAGCTTCCTCGAGGTCCAGACACCACTGGCAGGAAACCCTGGCTTCCAACAGAGGCCGGTGTCTTGGTCCAGGCACCCCTCCTCAGAGCCTTCTCTGGGCCGCTCCGGGGACCTGCTGGCTACTGACCAGAGGGAAGGTCCACGGCGCCAGGTGAGAACACAGTGAAGAACTGGAGAGCAACTCGGTCATCGCTGGGGCAGGAGCCACACTGGGTGCGGGACATGGTAACTGCTGGGAGGAGCCACACTGGGCGCAGCGGTGACCATGTGCTGGGCAGTCCAGAGAGGGAGGGACAGGGCGGGTTCTCGGAGGGTAGAGGACGGAAAGGCACCGGGGCTGCACCACAGGGCAGAGAAGACGCGGAGGTCTGAAGGAAGAGACGGGTGAAGGCCCCTGCTCTCAGCGTGGCCCTCCTTGGAGGAAGTGAATCAGTTCTCCGCGGCCACGGCGATGCACAGGATGAACCGCCGTCACCACTGCTGCCCAGAATTCCTGTTCTCTGGTCTGAGCTGCATGTGTGGTTTGCAGCATCGAATCCTATACGAATGGGGAGACTTCTCTGGCAGGTGAAAGGAGGTGACGCCAAAGCCGTGTTAGTCAAAGGGGCCTGACGTCCCTCCCCGCGCGCCTCGTGCCCGCTGCCCCCGCAGAGGCGGGGGCTCTGCTCCAAGTCGCCGTGCCGCGGCTTGTCTTCAGGGAGTGCATCTGAAGGTCCTGTGGACTAAGGATGTCGCCTGCCATGTCAGTAAACAGAGGACACTGTGGCCATCGAGCCATCAGCCCTGCAGCCAACGGTGCCCCCAGAGGGGCCTCAGGGCGGGAAGCGCGGGACTCGGGCCCCAGG